TTCTAGATCACCGACCACGCCAGTCTGAGGAACCCCGAGTACAGAGACTACTGGGAGAACGAACAACTCCTCCGCCGAACAAACTTACGACTTCTAGCCTACCCCTGTCAAACAGAGAACGATCGACTGTGTGCTTGGGACTTCCACCGGGCCCTTGAACGAACTTCCTGAACCCAAGACTACTACCCTGACCCGCGTACGTTTCAGTACCATCTTACACCGGGGTTCGTCGTCATTGAAACAAACTTCCCTCCATTCTATTTCCTTCTCCCTTATCACCATCTGACGGTAGTTCCCTGGGATTGGAATGTGCACTGCTGGCCCTGAAGGCCGTGTTCTGAGTGCCATCAGTAAACACTTACCGATCAGCGGGATTCGTACGACGGACCCGCACCAAAGCGGAGCACCGAGAACAGTCTCCGGCTGAGGCCGTCCACGTCGGACTCGGAGATCTGTGAAACCCGCCGGCCATAGGTGTTTGAACAGAGAGACACCTACTGTGTTCCATCAGTGCACCAGGTGCGCGGCCGCCCGAGGCGACGGGGCCGGAGAAATTAGTTGTCCGACCTTGAAAAAGGCAAAACCAACTCGGAAGACCGGATCCCGCACAGCGACCATTGGCATTTCCATCCCTGAAACTTGACACCGAAGAGCTCAGTTCCAACCGGGGACTCCACCCCACTTTCCTAAATCCTTGACACACCCCTACTATGCACTTTCGGGCCCCCTATCACTCCGAAAACAGGAAGTCGCGTTGGGCGTGAGGTTTGGGCGTCACAGACTCACCAAGGTTACCGATCCACATGAATGTGGACATTATCGCAGGCCCATACAGTGGATGACCTCATCCAGTAGAGATAAGTGTGTGTAACAGGTGCGTCGTCCGCATTGCCGTCTTCCCGTTAATAACGGAAGATGGAAACGGTCAGACAATGACAATCATGACGACCCTAGATAGAGAAAACGATTGAAATAACAAAAAATGAATATGGCACCTAGCCGAGATGTTTTTTCGTCTCAGCTAGCTCAACGCAAACAGGGAAGGGTAGGGGGCCTTGTAATCGAGAGATTCGTATTTTGCGGGCTTTTATCAAAACGAAAATAGGCCGATTCAAACGGAATAACAATAAAACAAAAATCAACCTTGCGCCTCTCACTGGCAGAATAAATTGCATCTCCAGCGTCGCGCACCGTCACTCCGGGTTGAAAACCCAGCGAAAACCCGGCTCAACGGAGCAGGTGGGACAAGGTCACTGAGGTGGTCTCAAATTACCTTTTCAAATTTTTCTTTCTTTCGTGAGGTATTTCAAGAAATTATTGCATGAGGAAAACAGCCGCGATGAGCATGTGGGGAGGCCTGCCGACTTCTTGCCTGCCGTACGATTCTGTGAACGTGGGATTGGCGTGAACAGGGGCGGGATAGGAAGGTGAAAGGCTAGATAACTACAACGGGGTCACAGTGTATGTTTGGCAACATATGAGTAGGGGGCGGGATCATGCGTGTTTTGATTTGCGCTATCTGAAGCTCCTTGCGGCCTTTTATAATAATAGATTGCCACGTGGCAGGTACGATACCGAGGTGCGATGAGTATGTGCTTGTCGCGTGGAATGCGCGATTTCGATTTGTTCCTTGTTTTGAATGCCCTTCCCTCTCACGGTCTGCTTAGTGTTGTAAGTCATTTTCGTCGTTGATGAGGGTTTCAAGGCAAGGAGATGACGTGGTGACTGTGGTTGGGGGAACTAGATTGATTCGGGGTCCTCCGTTGATTGAATTCTGTCGTCTGACTTTGATTACCCCTCCCCCTCATGGTCCCATTAATTGAATTTTGCCGCCCTACTCTGATTACCCCTTCCCCTCATGGTGCTGAACGACCTTTTTAGAAGAAGGTGAGGGTTGCAGATTAGGGATATTTTTTTTTTGACTATGATGAGCAGTTAATCCCCTCGGTCGAGGGCAATCAATGCTGCTCAATAAGCTGAATGGAGCCATCGTGCTGGCTTATTACTTGTCAAAGACTAGAGTAGGATGGACACGTGGCATGTAATATGGCATTTGATTGTTTACAGGGACGCTGGACCCGTTTTCCAGCAGGTGATGCTCCCCACCAATAGATGGAGCCTCCCCGAGCTTGCTAGTGGTGACTGCTCTTATCAGCATCCCTAGCAACTACTTGGGGTGTTTCTTTTTCAAAAAAAAAGAAAAAAAAAGAAAAAAAAGGAAAACAGCCGGGAGTGTTAGTTCAGCATTGAAAAAAAAACGTGCGTGTGGCCACACACACACACCCACAGGATCAAATACATGGTACCAAATCGTCCCAGATAGGGGCTCGCGGCACAGCCTACCGGGGGAGGTTGGACCTGGTAGTGGTATTTCATGACGCCTATCCCTAGCCCGACCCAAAGACTTCAAGGCTCCCGCTTGTTCACAGTCAGCCGCGTGGAAACTGGTAAGCTTCCCAGGGGGGTGCCTCCTAGTACTATTCCAAATCAATCAGCCAGTGGTTGTCCTGACAATTGTCTGTGGAACTACCGCCCCACCCAACCTCACGACATTTCTCCTAGCGTACCCCCATTCCCACTCTCCCTCTTAGTGTCAATCACTCAGGATTATCACCCCGCCTCTAGAGGACGACTTCGACTGAACAGTGGTTATAGTAGGCAGCAGGGCTAGGTGTTCGTACCTATCCCCACTGGAAGCATGGTCGAGCAAGCCTTGTCACATGTGTACTTCAGACACCAGGTGCAAGCAATATCTCTATCACTTCCATCTACTACGCTAATCCCTACTGGTATTCATCACAGACCGTATCTGAGGACTCCCCGTAGCCCAAACCGAAGCCCATGAGACCCTAGCAGAGACTAGACTCCCTACCCTGGCCATATGGTATGCGTGTGTGTCTGTGTGTGCCAGAGGCTATGTGTGTGTGTATCAAGTGTATGTGTGCTATGTATGTGATTTGTCTATTAGCCATGTTTCTCAACCTATATATATCCATATGTGTGCTGTGTACAATAGACCTATCTGTGCTGGAAACCCCCCACCAAAGTCCCCAGCCAGACTCCAACCTGTATCCATGTAACAGCTGTATTCTACCGTGTGCGCAGCAATCCCAAACTGGGTGGAAGTTGCACATGGTCAGAATGCCATTTCTTCTTCTTCATTTCTGGGCTCTTTTGGATTGTTTGGCTTTGTGGGCCTTGGAGGCAATTTGTTTCGGGTGAACACTTTTGGCTTGTTTGGATTTGTGGCCTTGTGGATTTTCTTTTTCCCAGGGTTCTGGCCGGTTCTTTCGTCTGGCTAGTTCTGCTTTGTGGGCCTTGGAGGCATGTTTGTTTTGGGTGGACCTTCTTGGTTTGTTCGCTTTTCTGGCCTTGTGGATTTTCTTATTTCCCAGGGTTGTGAACGGTCAGGACAGCCGTCTTGCTAAATCTGTCTCTGGACCTTTTTCCCAATGCCTGCACTTTTCCGGGTTGATTGTTGAGGAATTTCGGGCATCAGTTTCTTCTTATTTTCTTTTGCCCTCAATTTCTTGTCTTTTTTTCTTTTAGGGGTAACTACGTGGGAGTCACAAAAACAGTTTGAAATTAAAACTTTGGGCCAAAACGAGTTTCAAATTGCACTTCGGACACCGTACCTGACCGGAAGCTGGCTTGTATACATTGCCCGAAGTGCAATTTGAAACTCGTTTTCGCTCCAAGTGCATTTTCAAACTGTTTTTGTGACTCCCCCCTAGTTTCCCCTTTTTTTTAACAGAAAAAAAAACACTTTTATTACCATGAAAGAAATGAGGTCGGGAATCCCTCAACAAACAACCACAAGAATCAATACTGGGGACCATTACCCAGCTTAGGTACAGGCATTGGGGAAGAAACTAGGTAGTGACAGAAATGGCCACATCCAGACCCGTGTCCTGTTATCCCCTCAATCCTGGTGAATGAAGCATGCCACCAAGGCTAAAAAAGCACACAAGTTTAAATCGCCAGCACCTTTCCCCGCAATGAAAAAAAAGGGTGTGTCGATTAACACGGAGGGCGTATGCGGATGGTGGCCAGGTGCATCGAAAAAGCTTGGCGCGCAGGGCACGCGGCCGACATATGGGAAACGTACTGGCGGTTTTAACCCACCAATCATTTAACCCACCAATCAACAAAGCCATCAACGCCTGCAAAGGCTGAACAAACCAAAATTAACCACAAGGGCCGGTAAGTAGGGAGCAGCACCTGCTGGAAATGGGTCTAGCGTCCCAATTCTTTTCGTCTCTTTCCCGACAGCCACATCTCTGCTCAAGCCTGACCCAACAGCAGGTGAGGGAGCTAAACATCAGCTTCTGAACATCAACCGATACCAATGTGTCTTCAATGGGCCAGTCACTGTGCCTCCCCTCCGGTCCCCTCCCCCTTTGAACATCAACTGTCTCTGCTCAATGTCACTCGGGGGGGCCAACAGCATAGCTCTCGGTGGGAGGTGCCAAGCTTGCCCACCAAGGTACATGAGGACAATGGGGATTGAACCCAGGACCTCCTGAATGCCACTTGCGTGCCTTACCAACTGAGATCAGCCGGTGGACGAGTCCCAATTTCTACTTCTGCAATAAACTGAGTAGAGTACTCTGAAGAAAAGAAAAAGAAAAAGTGAGTGCATCTTGCGTAGACGATGGCAAAATACATCTGTTCCAATTTCTGGTAACCGATAGAAAAAAATCTTTTTTTTCTTTTGGGGGGGGGGAAAAAAAAAAAAAAAAAAAAAAAAAAAAAAAAAAAAAAATCGACTGTATCGTCGCACAGAAATTCCACAGTAAAAAAAAGAAAGAAAATAAAATTCCACCGAATGCAGTGCATCTCGCGCAGAAGAAGCCAAAATACTTCTGATCCTATTTTACGCTATCCGATCGCGCAGAAATTCCATAGAAGATGCATTCACGTCTTCTTTTTTGTCTGTTTCGTGAGGGAGGCGGTGAGCTTGCGCTTCTAGCTGAGGCCATGGTTGCAGCAGAGGACGGAGAAGGGCAGACCGTGCACAGCAGATCGCCAGTAGACAGGGAGGCGGGAGATAAGAACGGAGCAGAGAGGAAGAGGGAGGGTGGGAGGCAAAGGAGAAGTCAAGCGTGCCTGGCTCTCGGCAAAAGACACACACACACACACACACACACACACACACAGAGAGAGAGAGAGAGAGAGAGAGAGAGAGAGAGAGAGAGAGAGAGAGAGGAGTGCAGCGGAAGGCGTGAAAGTAGAAAAGGTCACAGGATACGATCGGGCTTTGATGCGGCGGCGACGACTGGCGGTTAATGGTTTGGAAACAGAAATCGGAAGGAGAGTGAGTGAGTGGAGGAGAGCAGCCGGTCGTCCTGAGACGCGGGCTTTGTTTTATATTGAGCAAAATCCATCCGGAATGTTTGGTCAAATAGCTTGTGCATGCGTTTGCCGCGCCATCCGCTGCAATCCCTGAGGTAGTTAGGCTGCCCTCTCTCTCTCTCTCTCTCTCTCTCTCTCTCTCTCTCTCTCTC